GGGCTTGGTAATACTGTCCTGCATCGTTATAGAACTGTGTAGACTCAAAAATGTTTCTCTTGTTGGAGATAGTTTGCCATATTCAGGTGTAGGATTCACAGCTAGGACTGTTGATTGGTTTTGTTATTTACGTCTAAACATTGGGGCCTTATGAGTTGAAAGTTCAAAAATAATTGCTGAGATGTTTTTCAAAGGATACAAGCAAACAAGTGTTTGTATATTTACAATAGAACACAAGGTAATTAATTTTTATAGTAAATTCACATTATTTCATGCTAAGTGCTCAGGCACATGTAGTCCACTGGAGTGGACAAGTTTATAACTTTATAAAAAAATATATTTTTGGGAAAAAAAGAGTTGAACATTTTTTTTCATGTCCTGAGAAGAATAAAAGCACTTAAGAAAAAAATCTTGACCAAGGCTTTCATAATTCATGCATCAGAGGGCTAGACACTTACTGAGCCAATACATTGGGTTTGGTTCGAAAGCTATTGTGACCTGGATGCTTGACCTTTGGGTTTCTGCTCGTGGTCTGATTGTGAGAATAAATGAGTTGTGAACAATGGCCTCCTCTGTCAACCAACAGAAAGGAAAACCCCATTCACTCGATTGTGTATTATTACGGTATTATCATCCTTCTTTGTTTGTGTTCACATAGAAACATGCACAAATATGAGCATGCATTGGCACATGCACACAAGCAGAGGCACACAAACACAGCAATACAAAAATAATAAAGGTATGAAACATCTCATGCATGCACACCCTGAAACACGTGTTTATGATTGTTAGGCCAGTAGTTTGCTGTGGGACAAACACAGGAACAGGATATTTACTGTGTTTCCTCAGCTGGTTTATTAGTTCACAATAGTATCTGCTAAAATATAGGCAGTGCATTGAAATTCAGCCTTGTGAGTATTTGGATTTCTTCAGTCAAAGTTTACTTTTTGGTCAGTCCTGCTGACTGTGTGTGCTGTTGGAAGAGTGACGGGAAAGATGGAAACGTAAGTGGTTGTCACAGAATGGTGTGAGCCATTTGTGTTTCCATCCTCATTTCATCTTTTTATGGCTGTTTGGTGGTTCAGTGGTGCAACATAACTGCAGTAAAAACAACTACAACAGCTACATTTACAATTTACTGTGTAGTCCGGTATGCAGTGTTCTCCAGCAATCTGATGCATTGGTATGATCAGTAATAATCCATTAACATACTATGTAATTATACATAAGAGATCTTTTTTTTTAATATATTTGCATCCGTACAGTTTTCTAAGCCCATATAAATAAATTTAAATCCAGTGTTCAGACACAGTATGTGGTCCTTAACTTTAAATTCTCTTTCATTTTAGTCCTTATCTCAGTACGTCTCCTTCTCTCTGCCTTAATCGCTTACTCGCTCTAATCCCACCAAACGACAGACAGTCATATAAATCAACATGTTTACAGTGAAATGTTTCCAATTAAAGAGGACGTTCGTTAAGAAGCATCAACGGATACCGCTGGATCCTTAATTGCCTGGGATGCCAGTGTATGATGCATATTAATTACGTATTAACCTTACAGTCAAACACACACAAATGCACATTAGTGTGTATTGCATATTAATTACCTATTACCCTTTGTGCTGTGCATTAAGAGCTGCGTGGCATCAGAAAGACAGCTTGCCCAAGGGCAACACATACTCGTACACACGTACATTAATACCACCAACGCCGTCTATTCAGGTTGCATTCACAATGAGGAATGAGCTATTTCAGTCAGCCAGGCATGACCATAACTAATCTCACTGCAGGAAGTGTGTCTGTTAGTGTGTATACATATGTGTTTTCGGTTATTTGCGCATTTAAGATGGTTAAAGAATTAAAGCACCTCATCCGAATCCAGCTGCCTGCATGTCCCTCGCTATTGTTGTGGAAATACAAAAGGTGAGTTGGTCAAAAACAGACAGTAAATGCAATGTAAAATAAATGAAGTGAAAAAAAATCACTTAAAAATAGCACTTATTTTTTAATAAAACTTTAGTAATCAAGCTGCCATGTAAAGTTAATGTAGACCGCTTGCATGTTATGCAGTCCTATCTAGACAGTTGTACTGTGGATCTTAAGGCTGCCCCTCAGCTGTTTCTTGCTCTCAGATTCTAGACTGTGTTCTTAAATTTACTCTCTGTGGCTTTTTAAGCACTTAATCCTATTTCCAACCTCCAGTTTGCTTCTCTGACCTTCACAAACCTTTGCATTCAAATCCTTTAACACATAATTAAGTGAAGAGAGTGATATTGATATGTAGTCATGATATATGTTGTCAGCTGTACTCATACAATTCAAAAAACGCATCTATAGACTTAATTTCTCTGCATGTTCTTTGTTCATTTGCATGTAGAGCATGGGTAATCTATTTATCCTAAATGAAAATGGAAATGAAGTAGAATTAATGATAATAAATACCTTAACAAGTAGTGATTAGTCAACTAGAATTGACTTTTATTAAAGTGGCATCCAATGGATTTTTTTTTCATGCCAGTTTGCACATTTTAATTGCAAATGTTTATATCATTTTCATAATCATTTACAACTTCCAGGGGAAAGACATTTCCATACATTAATTTAATTTAATCAGAGCGCATCATCTCGCCTTTGACGCCACACTGGGAGCAAAAGTCTATCAGTCTATCAAACGTGGAATAGGAAAAATATATCTATTTTTCAGCTAACAAATAGATTTATTTGATTTTCATTATGGTAGAGTGGTTTCACTATTTCCCAAGAACAATTAGAGATCATATATGTGTGTATTCTCTTGAGTGACAGCTGGCCACAACGGTGGCCAACAGACAAATTAAGAAGAAAGAAAGAAAAAAACATCCAGAATGTCAAAACGAGTTGAACAGGAAATCCAAGTAGGGAGCCATCATAGTACCACACTGTGCCCACACCATACTGTTTGACTGACAGGTGATCTTTGGGGAGCACCACATACACGCACACAAAGTTACAGACACGCACGCCTGATGATGAGAGCTTACCAAATCAAAAAGAGATGAAAAATAAATAAAGATAATCCATCATCTTGGCATTATACCTGAATGTAGTATCAGAAATTATTAAAGAAGTTTTTCTTTTCTTTTTTTTCATTTATTTATTTTCTGCTTTGACTCTACTCTCCAACACTCTACTTCACTGTTTGGGCACAAATATGCTTGTCTATGTATGTGAAATGAGCTGCCATCCCATTTTTATTGATTTGACCATGGGGGTTTGGAGGATGAAGCCAAGGAGAGCTAGAGACCAGACAATGGCAATAAATCTATATGCAACCACAAGTGTGTAGGTGTGTGTGTGTGGTAACAGGCTCACAAAAAGATTAGGTGTGTCCTACTGCCCTGGCTCGCACACCCATGTTGAGGGTAGTACATCATTGGCCTAACAAAGCACATTAAGTAAGGGAGTAACCATCAGTACAGAAGCTGAAACATTAAAATGCTTCATGAAACAAAAATACACAAAAATGTATCTCATGGAATAACTTTCTTAAACACCTGAATGAAACAAGCCATACAAAGGCAGTTAAGCATAGAGAATGTCACCAGATGTAATCCTGTCCTGAAGCTTCGCCAGCTTCATAAATGTGTCAAAAACATTATCTTGAGCCCCAACTTATAATTACAGTATGTGAGGCATTCGAAATGCCAAACAGATTTTATAAAAGGCCTGTTTCCGTGTGTGTGTGTGTGCGCGCGCGCGCGCGTGTGTGTGTGTGTGCGAGAAGCAAAGGTGAGACTTAGAGTGATCCAGGGCAGAGGGAGAATTTTTCAGGCCTAATGTTCCATGACAACAGACCAAGGTTCCGTCAAGGTGAATCAGAGCCACTGCTGCCTAACGACTGAAACACACACACACACACGCACACGCGCACGCGCACGCACACAGACATACACACAAACCATCCCACCAGTCTTCCTTTGTCTCGTCCTTTCTTCTCTTCTTTCTCCTTGTCTCATCCTTGTAAGCTTGGCTTTTCTCCTCCTATCATTTCCTTTTCTCACCTTATCTCTGTTTTTAACCATCACGTATTGTTTCCGTTTCCTAGTTTTTGTCCTCCTGTCCTCCTACCTGAGGTTTAATTATGTAGTTCTTAATCATAGCTGTGATCTGAGTGGGCTTCACAATAACTGGGGAAACACCAGCTCCTAAATTTAGAGGACAAGTCTTTTTTTTCCTCAATTCTCCCCCTTGTCCTGCTTAGTGATATAGAAATATGCCACTGACGTTGCAATAACTTATAGAACTCCACTTATCAGAACTTATCTGGATGACAACAGCCAACTCGTTAAGCTGGTTTGTGAGACTGTTGATGTATGAGTACCATTTAACATTCATAGTGCATCAGCATCCCGTCTACCTGCCCCACTTAGATCAGCCTGAGATCTGTCTGTGTGTGTGTTTGTGTGGGAGGAAAGTAAATTTTGCCTGTTTGTGTTCTTGTCGTATTTGTTTGTAAATGCTGCACATATGGCACCAATATTGGGAAGCAGATGCAAGTCCAAACTTAATCAGGTGCTGGTTATAAATCATTGAACTGAAGATAATACAAGAAGGGAAATCCTTCAATGAGGAAAACTTTTTGATTAAACAGTGAAACATGAAAAGCAAGGTTATACAGGTTGACTAAAAGAAATAAGCCCCGGAGGGATATAAGAAGAAATCAGACTTCAAAAGAAACAATATAAGTGTGCCAAATGCTTCTTTTAATTTCAACTATGAAACTGCTGTATATCTCTGACGAGGAACCTCAAAACAACCGCAACCACCCAGGGAAAATTTCCTACCAGTGTGACGCTGACCTCCTTTTTTTTCAAAAGAAATAACCATGTCTTTTTCTCCCCCACTTTTTTTTGTATTTGTACCTCTCTCTGTGACCCCTTTTCTCCTTTCTATTTATATGTCCACTTTTATCATCTCCCTATCCACCCCCAAACATCCTCTCTCCTCCCTGTCTTTCAGTCTGCAAAGTGGGGTTTTACCGCTCGCTGCTGGAGTCTTTGGCCTGTAGTAAATGTCCACCTCACAGTGTGGCCAGACAGATGGGAGCCACTGCTTGCAGCTGTGAAGACGGATACTTTAAGCTAGACTCTGACCCTTCTAATATGGCGTGCACACGTGAGGATATAACCCCTTTACATTTGCTCATGCTCACTTTCAAGGCTTTTGTTTATCCAAATGCTTCTTTGTATTTCTAGCTGTATCTTCTTCTAAGCCCTTTTCATCTCCCTCAGGCCCTCCATCTGCTCCTCGTAATGCTATTTCTAATGTCAACGAGACCAGCGTCTTCTTGGAGTGGTCCATTCCTATGGATACAGGTGGCAGGAAGGATGTGCGCTATAACGTCATCTGTAGACAGGTCCTGCCAGACGGAAGGGGCTTGGAAGAGTGCGGTCCCAATGTACGTTTTCTGCCACGCCGCACTGGCCTGTCGAACACCTCAGTGATGGTGGCTGACCTGCAGTCACACACCAACTACAGCTTCTTATTGGAAGCCGTCAACGGAGTGTCAGACCTAGCCAAAGGCCATGCAAAGCAGTATGTGTCACTTAATGTGACAACCAATCAGGCAGGTATGTTCCGCCAGATTTGACTCATCATCACATTCACCATACCTGTTCACTCCTCCATTTGAACTTATCCTGAATTCTCCAGCAAAAGTCAAATGTTTTGTCATAACTGCTTCTTCTCCACGCTTATTTAAAATGCCACAGACCAACTGGCATGCCAGATTCATCGCATGACAATCTGGGTTTGATAACAAAGACACCAGATGATCAAATTATCACAGTATTTGTCCAACAAATCTGTTGCTGTATTAATTTTCACTTATGCATTATCCCTGCAGCGAAGGAGAGAACATGACACAGTGGACAGCCTTTTTTTTTGTTTTTGCATCCAGCTATGTCATCGAAAAAGCAGCTTGGTCCCCTCAATTAGGCGCATCAATGAGATTCACAGGAATCTGTGGCATAATGAAAGCTCTGTTATGTGTATGGGCTGTCGTGCGTGGCAGCAGGTGTTATTCTGCATGTCTATCAACACTGATGGATCATGCTGATGCCATACAAGTTTACATTTGAATTTTAGGTTGGTGAGGGCTATGTTTGCTCAAGTGTGAACAAAAAAACAAAACCTAGGCTGGTGTGATGTTCAGCATTCATCATTTTTGGGAGTATGCATTATATGTGATGCCAGAGCAGCTTAGCAGATCTTTGTAACCATGAAGTCAGCTTAAGCACCAAATGAAAACCACTAAAGTGGCCAAACACATATTGGATAATGAAAGAGTCCAGCTACTTCACATAGCTGTAAATACTGGATGCTTTGTTAGCTTCCTTTTAAATGAAGATTAGGATTCACACTCCACTGGGAACCTATTTTTTATGGGTTAAGAGTTATGTGCTTTTGTTAGTTTTAGTTTTATTTGCTTGTAATGAAATGGGTAGCGCAAAGCATAATGCAATGAGAAAAATGCAAAATTACTACTCTCTTCCCCAAGGCTTCTGTCAGGAGAAAAGGCAAGAGGGGGAAAAAAAGCTATGTCGAAAGAATGTGTTTGTTCCATCCAAACAGATGGTTTACTGGCAGCCAAAGAATAGCAGTTATTATTAGTAGTATCAATGGGAGGAGCTGTACAAGTAATCAGGAAGGTACAGTTTGTGTTTAGGAGGACAGGAAAAAGAGCGAGGCAGATGGCTGTCTAACAGTCAAGACTACTGGCAGTCCTCTAAATGTGTTGTCACTGTGGCTGTCAGCACACTGAGTGGATTACACCAGACTACACAACTCAAATGCAGTTTATTTCAGTTGTAGCTGGATTAAAGTTAGGCAGTCACTGGACCAAGTGGAGATTAGGGATTACGTTAGATTACACATGGCTGACAGAGTCACAGACCAATAAAATCTGCTGTACTTTGGCTTGTATCTGGTACATGCTACTGTAAGTGAGGGTGTTTTTTTAACATTACCTTGAAAACAGAATCGTGTGAGCATACTGAGAGCAGCTTGGTGGTTAACAGTTCTAATTAGTACAAATATAAACAAGCATGAATGTACAACCTGGCCGTGCCATCTGAAATGCACTCTAAATGCCTTACTCTGTGTAAAAAAAATAGTAGAAAGTAGAAAATAGTAGATATAACACCTCTTTCCAGTGTTATTATTCAGCTAATTATTATCTAGATTCATTAGCCAACATAGCAACATCCTATTCTGAAAGGTGGCTCAAGCGTGAACTTGTGCTTTCCCAGCATGTGTAGGGTTTTCCATTTGAAGTAGTATTTAAAGGTGCTGGGAAAAATAAAAAAATGAGGAAACTAGTAGGCTAGTAAAGAGAGATGGCCCTAATGCTATAGATGTCACCAAGACTCACGTATACCATTAACTGTACAAAGGTTATAACCCAATCTTCATTTAATATTTTTCTAGGGAAAAAAAGAAAAACGGTGCAGCAAATTATTGAAGCATGTGTAAACATACATAGAAATACAATATATTAGGCAAAAGGCAAGGCAGTTTTTCTTTTTAATGCCCTGGCTGAAATTCAACCCCATTCACTTTTATATTTCCCCCCTGACCTCCTTACATCTTAGACAAAGACGTGAACCAAAGATTTCATACAATCAGACCTGTTGCCACTGCATTTCAGTCCAATTCTTGTGTAATTTGGCATACTGCAGCCTTTTCCCCCTGTTTTCTATCCTTAAGAATAAGACCATTTCTGATGAGTGTCCAAAGACCTTCAGAAAGCCTAGAGAACTACTACACTACAATAAACATTACAAGAAAGGAAGAACTCTGCTTGGAAGCAAAAATATAAAAAAAAAAATAAAGAGGGAACTTTTGTCTTTTGATTGACAAGTAACAGGTCTGTGTTAGTGAAAGAATTTTAGTTTTAGGTAAGAATCCACTTAGAAAGCCATCTTTGTTTATGTAATACAGTTTATGATGCTAAACACTGTGAAACTGTGCTTTAAATATTGCATTTTGGATTCATTTACAACGTTTTTCAATGTCATGATAATGACACAGCCACTTGTGTAATTGTGCTATGTCATTGTACTTGTGTAAAATAATAACAGCAGTGAATGTTGCCTGCAGCTGCTTTGGCTGATTTTATGTAGATTATATTGACTTAGGAGTGAAAACTTTCTAACATCTTCTAGATGTTGCATCTGCTTTTAAAACCAAAATTTTTGTGAATCATTTCAGAACGAATGAACTTGAGAGTACTAAAGTTAGAAGTAAGTCCACCCCTAGGAATAAGAGATCCTTTTAGCCCAAGGATGTTTTTTGAATACAGCTCCTAGCTCTTTGTAGCAGTGTGCACCAACCGCTGTTTGTGTAATGCGACTCACAAAACCAACAAAGTGAGCACTTCAACTACTGGAAGGCTGTGTATCAAGTGACTAACATTATTTGGAACAATCATTTTCACAATAATCCTGAGGCAGTAATTGTAATGACTGATTTAAAATGTTCTGATCCATCTGCTCTTTAGTGACAGATGTAATTACTAAGTGAAAACCTCAATCAGCAGTTTAACCACCTGCATTTTTGTTGTGCTCGTATGTGACTGGTCTAGAATGTGCTTCTGCTCTCTGACAGTAAAAACAAGGTACTGAGACAAAACTACTGCTAAGGCTTAGGCAGGGAGAGAGATAGAGTCAGAGGATCTGCTGTTTGATGTGTGAAAAGTGTCACACACGATAAGTTATCCGTGAAATAGGTGATTTCACAGTGTCCCTGCGAAACCCTGCTGAATAATAAAGTGTTGGTTGTTGGGAAGAGGAGATCAGGAGAGGTGAAAAACGGGAGAAATGTACGACAGAGAACGAGAGAACAACAGGGCAGAGGGGGCAAAATGTGGAGGGAAAATGATAGGATGCTTGTGATAAGGAAAGAAAAGGTTACAGCAAGAAGCTGTAACAGCAGGAAAGATAAGCAGAGGACGGAAGTAAAGAGACAATAGTGAGAGTCTGGACATTAACTGCTTGTATACATTCAAAAATACAAAGAGCACTGTTGGAGCATGGAAGCCCACATATTTTTCTCTGCTTTGATGTTCCTTGACACACTGGTATATACATTTGATAAGGTGGCTTGCTAGCACCTGCCTTTATGAGGTAGAAATTAATTTTGAAAAGAAAAGTAAGCCACCAAAATGCTCATACAAGTTTCCCTGCAACCCAGTGATTGTTTCCCATATGTTACATTTTAAGCTCTGTATTTGCTCAGACATTGATGAATGTTTGAGTGGAAACAATTAGCATATTGCTCTTTCTACACACTCAAAAAGGAAGCTTTGAAATCTAAATAGTTTCTTTTTTTTATTTAATAAGCACAAGTTTTACAGCTTTGTTTTATTAGGATAGCTCTGTCTGTTTTAAAATATCTTATTTCAGGTTATTTGTTCCTGCTGTAGGCACATTGAGTGCCACTTGCACAGTAAATGCTCCCAAATATGTTTTTTCTGCTATTGGCTATTAATCAAATGTACCATGATACATTAGCTTGCGTGTGGTAAAAATGTGCTGCCTGCCACTGCAGCTATTTATTTTACTTTGATGTGGAGCGTGCAATACTGTGCAAAAGTCTTGAACCACCTTTCATTTCTTTAGATGTTTCTAACAGGGAGACAGACTTCCCATTCAGTCCTTGTGCATGACTATTTTCATATGAATATCTTTTTTGTTTGTAAGCCACTTACACTGACCTATGAGTCATTCAATTATCAAAAGGCACCCAACTCAAGGTATGAGCCAGTGCATTTTCTCTACACATAACTTTAAATTGTATCTTTAATCACTTTGTTCCGAACACTTTGTTGCAAAAACACATCATTTGTTTCTATTTCTTTAGTTGAAACTATGATTAATGCCATAGATCACACTGTTTGACAGGTATAACATAGTATTTCTTCACCCAACATTGTGGCTCCCAACAATCCCAACACTATCTTAGCAAAGAGGTTATATTGTTGGTAGCATTGCATTCTTTCTGTCTGTATACATGATAGCTCAAAAAGTACTAAATGAATTTAGATAAAAGATTTGTAGGGTTGTAGAGTGTGTTTATTTTAACAATCCATTCAAATTGGCTAACATCCACCAAGGTCGTGAAGGTTAACTCAAGGATTTAGTGGTTGAAAAGGAACAAAAAGCCTTCTAACATATAACTTAGGAAACTGAATCTTATAAGTGTGGTGTGTATTGTCAAAATATAGAAAGGCACCAATAGCTCAGTTGTTTGTGCATTAATTTTCATTTACTTCCTCTAATTTAAAAAAAAAACAAAAAACATTTATATCCTAATTAATCCAGCAACAGTAAATAAATGTTATAAAATAAAGGAAGAGTGATGGGAATGGTACAGATCCAAATTCTGTAAATACACCAAATTGGAGCAGTTTATGGTCACAGCATTAAATCTCCAAGCCACAATTAAAATATTCCAGCTATTATATTTTTTTGTCAATATTGATGTGCTGATAGGGAAGTGGATTGTGGCAAGATGCTGGATTGGTGCAAAGCCACTAATCGAATGTATTGCATCAAAAGAAAAGGCAGATTAAAGTTTTAAAGTTCCTCGCAAAATAGATGATAGCAGTTTTTGTACTTTGCAACCCTAGTGAAGACATCTCTGTCCCCTATCTCCAATTCATTCTGTCTCAATCTATCTATCAGTCATTCCGAGAGGGTAGTTATAAGATAAAAACGAGATCGTTGAAAGCCGGTATTGATTTTGGTGATGTGCAGACAGATAGTGGTCTGGGAGATTTATGTTTAGCACTGTGATAATGTTGCTTTTATTTGTTACATTGGATAGCTGTATTCCTCCAGTGAATGGGTTTTACCTTTTCTAAACTCACTCTTTGTAGAAAAAAAAAAGTATCAGACGGATAGCAAATAGAGCATTACCAGCCACCAGGCATAAACACCAGGAGTTCATCTTCATTTGCGTTTTCATTGGCATACTGTACGTGCTCATTAGCAGTTATAACACGCAGTGGAAGTGTTTAAAGCTAGAAGTGTCATTACACTGTTTACCCCGTTGTTAAAATAAAAGTGTTGCTGGGTCCCGTCTACACTCTTTCAACATGTCTCCTCCTCGTCTTTCATTTTTCACTTTTTTTTGCCTCTTGCATTCCCTCCTCCCCGTCTCTCTCTTCTATTACCTCTCCTTCTGTCTCGATTGAAAATCTGGGTTTTAAAGCACTTGTTTGAGTGTGACTGCTCAGTGCTATTTTGGTATATACAGATATTGTATATATCTGTATTTGGTGATAAGGAAGAGACAGAACCAAGTGAGCCAAAAAGTGTTTAATTGCTGTGTGTGGCTATAGTTTGGATTATAGTCTAGAAAAAGTCAACAGTTTTAGTTTGTCTAAATTGACAGAAAAATATTTTTTTAAGAATTACGAGTTTGCTATCTTGTCGTGGTGGAGGCATTTGTGTGTCCCAGTAATCTCAGGGGCTATGTTGACAAGGGGCTTTCATCCCCTGGTAGGCTCTCCCATGGGAAATTAGTCCTGGGTGAGGGACCAGAAAAAGAGTCATTCAAAAATCCCTATGATTGAAAGATCTAGGAAACAGTTCACTCTGGCTGGGATAGGGTTACCGAGACCTGCCCTGGAGCCCTGGAGCCAGGTCCATTAAGGGTGCCCAACGGTGAGTGCCTGGTGCCCGGGCCTTAGTCCATGGGGCGCGGCAAGGCACAACCCGAAAAAGAGACATGGGTCCACCCTCTTGTAGGCTCACCACCCGGATGAGCCACTTATGTGCCAAAGGACAATACAGAGTACCTGGCCTTCTTGGAGTCCCTCGGTGGGGTACTTGAGGGTGCTCCCCCTGTGGACTCTGTCGCCTTATTGGGAGACTTCAAAGCTCATGTGGGCAATGACAGTGAGACCTGGAGTGGCGTGATTGGGAGGAACGGGTTTCTGACAAGGATGTCTCCTAGATGCCTCCTGGGTATGGTGTTCCGGGCATGTCCCGCTGGGAGTAGGCCCCGGGGCAGACCCAGGAAATGCTGGAGAGATTATATCTCTCAGCTGGCCTGGGAACGTCTTGGTGTTCCCCCAGACAAGCTGGAGGAGGTGGCTAAAGAGAGGGAGGTCTGGGCTTCTCTGCTGAGGCTGCTTCCACCACGACCCTGCCACAGATAAGTGGAAGAAAATGGAAGGATGGATGGATTATGATTTAGGTAATTTTTTGACTAAATAAAGATTTTAAAGGCATTAAAGGAACGTAACCTCTATAATTAGTGTCCTTATTGTTTCTTTGTGAAAAATAATGTTTAACAACATTTTTGATGACAATTTTGAGACAAAATCCCTACTTCAAATCTAAGAATGATTTATATACCCCTAAAAATCACTAGCTTTGGTAAAAGGCTGTACCCTCTTTACAAATCCTTTTCAAAACATTTGATTAAATATAGAATGGAAAACTGCATCCATTTTTGGAGGGTGTAAACTTAGATTTTGGTGTATTGTTACCCATAAAGCTGCTGGGAAAATAAACCCTCTCTCTCATCATTGAATCCAGGCTTTATACCATTTAAGCATTGAGTGTGTGTATGTGTGTGAGTTTCGGTCTCTGGTTTCAGGCTTTTAAGATATTCCAGATAACACTTCTGTGCAACCATCCACTCAAGATACAGTTACTGTGTTTGTAGCGATGATTTATTCTCTGTGGACTTCTGCTGAGGCCATTGAAACCTAAACGGTGTTTAGCATTTGCAGTAGCCACACATTCACATGCACATCCACGCGCATCAACATTCACACACACACAGGCTATAGGGATGTTGCCTGAGGGAGCATTTTGCCTAGTTAAAAGCTCTTTATGTGTCAGAGACTCTCCAATTGTCCCTCTGAGAGATGAACCAATAGATCAGGTTACACCAGGATGGCTTTGCAATTGATGTAAACTTGCAGAACAAAGCTCACTTCAAAACTGAAAGGATAAATGACAGAAAAAAGACATAAATGAAAATATAAGCTTTAAAGAAATACAAAGAAAAGAACGAAATACACAAATATATTGGATTGTGCATAAAAGTGACACATTTATGTCGTTATTTTGTTGTTTGTGTTGATTCTACATTAGAAGAGTTTTACAGTGTATTTCGTAACCTTTAATGTGTGCCAAATTTGGTACACTAGACACTCAAATGTGAAGACTTAAACAGTTGAATTCATATGCTTCTCTGGCAGCACATGCTCAGCCAGCAGCAAGACATAAAGGGATGGTTTAATTAGACACAGGTGCACCTTGTTGCCAAATTGCAAACATGCTTCTGAGGCAGAGCTGCTTGGTAACCAAAAATAACATTTTTTGAGCTGGAGCTTGACAGACAAAAGCAAACAACCTCAGAGAGGAGCCTAAATTCCAAACATGACACTCATAAGAAAAAACATGGCAAATTATGTCTTTGAAAGAAATCACCAAACAGCAAAGATAGATATCCGTTACTGTGTAAGTTGTTACATGAAAAACCTCTTCCTATTGTCGCCATATTTAAAATCCTCTTTAGATTTTTTAATCTACAGTTAAATTTTTCATGATTTACAGCAATCACAGCATGCATGACAATTAGTTATGTGCATGTAAACATCAAAGGATGAGGTGTCCTCAAAAGAATGATGTCTTGTGAATGCTGATGGGATCCAGCAGATTTTACAACATTGGCACACTTTGCCACGTGCCTTTGTGCCACTGTTTATTAGAGTTTTATGCCTGTGTTATTTAGTTTTAATAATGTGAAATGCAGTGAGAAGTGCAATGGGTTGCATCATATTTAACTGCTGGATTGTGCTATTTATGTTGATACTTCAAACCGTACTATTTTCTTTGAATCTTTGTTTCTGCAGCACCGTCCCCTGTGAGTGTGGTGAGGAAAGGTCATACAGGGAAGAGCAGCATTGCCCTTTCTTGGGCAGAGCCTGATCGTCCCAACGGCATCATCCTAGAGTATGAGATCAAGTATTTTGAAAAGGTAAAAATCTTTTCACAAAGCTGTGTACCTTTGTCTACTGCCCTTGGGCCAGCTGTGTTTTCCTAGTACCTCCCTGAACCTCTCGTACAGTAGAGCTTTCAGTTTTAAAAGCACTGGTTTTCCAGTTTAGTGTTTTAATGTATACAGTTTTGAACAATATGTACTATGAAATTAAATGTACTATACAACAGAAAACTCATTTGTAGGGTTATTCTTGTTCAAGCTTTTGCTTTTAGTTGTACAATAGATATCATATTGACTTTAGTCCACAGACACACACACATCATATAAACATTTCTGTTGATAAATGTCATTTTCAAAGTACATAGCTAGTGACACTGGTTGTATCTGGCCTTTTTAAGAGTATATATAATATATACTATATATATATATAATTATAATATTATATAATAATATATATATATATATTATATATATATATATATATATAAGAAACTGACCATGCTTGAACAACCTCTAGCAGCACTTCCCCTTTGCCCTGTATAACACACCTAATTTGTTACAGCTACAGATGTGTGTATCTTACTGAAATTGTGTTTTAAGCCAGGTCCAGTGAGAAAACTTTGACTTCAAAAGTCTTTGTAACAGCATAATAGCCTTTCCCCCCCCCTTTTTTGTTAAGTTGGACTTAAGTAGGGACAGCAATTTGATGCTTCTGTGCAGATCATTGTTCCTGTGCCCTTCCTCTTTTCTGCCTGTAATCCTCTGATGTCTTCTTTTCTAAGGTCACAATAAAGGTACATTGGAGAGCAGGGTAGGGTTTGTGGTCAGTGGTGAGCTAATGGCATCTGGCTAATGGAGGCAGCATTTAGCTGAGTTAAAACCTGATGTGGTTACAGTTGGAAAAGTGATCCCTACACACAGGCATTTAGACACACTCATGCTCGCATATACCACAGGTAGCTGCGGAGAGAAAGCAGCAATAAGCTATATGCATACATTTTGGCAATACAATTATTGGGGCAACACATTTTTGACAATCAAAAGTACAAAAATGTTAGTAGAACACATGAATAAATTAAGCTAACATTCTCTTTCTTCAACTAAAGGAACAGGACTCCAGTTACACAATAATAAAATCCAAGGATACTGAAATGGTGGTGGAAGGCCTGAAGCCCTCTTCAGCTTACATCTTCCAGGTCAGAAATGGGTTTCACAAATTAAGAGACTGATAATGGAACTGGATGACAAAAGGGAAGGAAAAAATATTTAAATATGTAGCAATGACAAAATAGTTTGTCAGTATTGCCTAAGATCAAGCAAATCCAAATGAATTAAATTGAAGTATGGTGCATGAATGATATGATGCATTACAGGTACGAGCCAGGACCTCAGCAGGCTATGGTGCATTTAGCCGGCGCTTTGAATTCCAGACCAGCCCTTACTGTGAGTACACCAAAGAGAAGGAGAGAATGACAATACAATGAAGTTTAACTTGTACACAACTCCCACCTGTGTTCTGGGGCTGTATCAACAACAGATGCCAGGTGTGGTTTTGTGTTTGTGTACTGTGTGTAATCCCATGTCTTTTCTTTGGCAGTAACTGCTACTAGTGAGCGTGCTCAAGCTTCGATAGTAGCGGTGGCCATCACACTGGCTCTGGTCCTGCTGGCAGTGGTTGCTGGATTCCTGCTCAGTGGGCGGTAAGGCATAACCTATATACCTGCAAAAGAAAATATGATATGAAAGTATATCCATGTGCATGTGCGTGTATATCACCAATATACACGCACATGCACATGGCAATAAAAACAAATACAAAATATTAGCATGAGAGTGCTACTGTGTTACTTTTAATAATGTTCCTGTTACTGGAAATATTGAATTAAAGTTACGGTCTGTAAAATCTAACCAGTAGATGTCAGTAGATTGCAGTCAACGGAGTTCTGTTTTCTTCCCAATTTACCTGCATAATCCTAACTACGGTGGTCACTGTAGGACAAACAGCTCTGGACTTGAGGTGGCTGTAAAATTTAGTGATAGGAGTCCGACAGCAGTTGATGAGTCAGCGAAGCTCGCTGTTGTCTGATGACAGGGATATTGTGTTGAGTTGTTGAGGATATCCTGAACTTTTCTGGTGGCAAGTGCTGTTGTTTTTGACGGTGTTGGCTCCTGTCAGTGGCATTAGTAAAACTTTTTTGGAGTGGCTCAAACATTTTTGAATAAAATGTGAGAAGGCAATCAAACTGTTTATCAGCATGAAAGTGTGATATTTTTGACACTCGAGCCTAAAATTATCTGGCATGGTGTTAACTTATTACCAGCTGTTGTTGATTAGACGGGAAAGTCACATGTCAGTAATTAATTGTGATATCAGGAATAAATAAGTATGTTTACGTACATTATGCATGTTTTCATGTGTTTGAGCCCTGAGTTGGGTTCAGAAGATGAGGCTTGGACATTTTCTAGGACATTTTCTCCAGATGCCAGTTGGATTGTATGTTTCATTCATATTTTTGCTTCTTTCATGAAGAAGCATAGGTATGATCTTTCATTTCATTTTAATTTTAAGGGACAGCTTAGATTGAGCAGTTTGGAGACAAAGTTAGAGAAGCAAGGCTGAGATCGCCTGAACGTGAGGAGGAAGGATAGTGGATATTAGGTGAAGGATGCTGAATATGGAGCTCCCAAACAGGGGGAAAAGGAAGACCACAGAGAGATTTGATGGATCTAGTGAAGAAGGACATGCAAAGGGTTGGAATGGTACAGGAAGCTTATGGGATTGGGTCAAATGTAGGCAGATGTTCCACTGCGCTAACCCCTAGATGGAGAAGTTTAATGCTGAGGTTAAGTTTGTTGTTACTGGACTATGAAAGTGCAGTTTAAGAATTTGAAGTGCTCAATGGAAGAAGAAAAAAAGAGGTCCAAGAGGTCAAAGACAATTTTTTCTTATTTTCTCCTTATTTAAAAAAAACTAAAAATAAAGCAGATAATAGTGCATATTCTTCTCTGTTTATTTTATGTACAATATTGTATGTTAGTTCAATAATGGTCCATCATCACTTTATCCATTTCTGACCTTATGCTGAGTAAATCTCGTTTCTGTCCCAGATATTTCTCTGTGGTTGAGCAGCATTATGGGATTAGACACATAGCTTGAAGTAAGACTTTTGTGATAGGTCAGGATTAAGGGTTGCTTTTTAGGTTATAACTACAGGGTGGATTCATATCAGTCAAGTGGATTTTCCTCACATCTGGTAGCACAACCTTGCTCATAAGCATTTACCATTTTTCAGTCTACAAGTCTGTCGCATTCGCATGCCCCCATGTGCATATGACCTTCACTTTATCAGTAAAGTCAGGAAATTTTTTTAATTATGAAAGAATGTTCCCCACGTGCAGACACAAAACTGCAGACGGAGTGATAATAGACAGTAGAGAAAATAGTCAAAGCCAGAGTAAAAAAATCATTAGAACTCGTGTATTCCTCTGTTTCTTCAGGGTAGTTAAGTCAAAGCTCACATTTCAGTTTCTCTACTATATTTTGAGGTTTTCTAAGAATGAAAATACATGTTCGTTTTTCTCCCAGATGCATATTGTTGCTTCATTTACGAAATTTTCTTCTCTCCTTCAGTATTAGGTCATCATTTAAACAGTTTAGGTTTGGTAAATGCACAATTTAAAAAAACTGTATTTAATGTTGAACATAAAATTATGATGTTGGAAAGAATTCAGAAACAAATCAGAACGATACAGAGTTGATTTCTGGTTTAGCCGAACAGTGATGAGGATTGCGGATCATTCCTGGGTTTTGTGTGTGGGGGAGGAGAGATGGAAGAATGCCAAATTTTCCAACGATGGATTTAGGGCACAAGCACCACAACCCCCTCCCACCAATGCATCTCCCACACACCCACTCATACATGACTCTCCAGACTACACACGCGTGCACAGAACACATGTGTGGAGCCTAGCACATACGCACTGGTGTATGCATGGGTTAACACACATGTACGCACACACGCAAACACATGCATGAAGTTGGAGGGCATGCTCAAACCCCTTGACTCAACAAATCCAGCAAACTAAACACCCTCCAGGCAGACACACAAAACACGCACACGCACAAATACAGACACACAGAGTCAACCCTCTCCAGCTGCCCATACAAACCCCTCTAGCCAAGCCTGGTTACCCTACAGAGAGGTCCGATGGGAAAGACTTGGACATGGCCCCGCTGTGTGTGTGTGCGTGTCTTCATCTGTCTTCAAGAACTAAAAGATAGGAAAAATTCTACCATCAAAAATACTTGTTTGACAAATGACTAAAATAAAACAGTAAATTTACATTGCAGATATTTTAATTAGTTACTCTGTATCTGTTTGTTGCGTGGTGTGTTTTTGTGTTTGCATATAGGATCAAGTTTAAATTCATTACACATGTTTAATCTGGGTTATCTGTGATTATCTCTGATGCCAGTTGTAAAAATATTGACTTATAGAAGCGTTTTAAGCACAAACACACAAACATACAAATGAATGTCGGTTTAATCCACCAGGCTTACGCAGACAAAATGGAAAAGAATATGATATAGACATAAACATAAGCCTTGCGGCTTCAAAAGTTCTGTTTTCAGTCTGGCCTTTCTTAAAAAGTGACAGATCTCTTTTTCCTGTTGCAAAAGTCAGAGTTGATATGTCGAGAAGGGCTTTCTTGGTTATTGATATTTTGTGGAAACTGCATTCCTTTGCTGACATCTTTTCTTTTCAGCAATATTTTTGAACACCTTAAAAGATGGGTTAGCAGATTCAGTGAGAAAATATAAAGCTTATTTTGCACTTAGATTCTTGGGGGAGGTGGCAGGGTTTGCTTTTCTTTGCTTGGGCTATTTTGTGAGATCACTATTCAAAAAGTATATTTTCCTGTGTTTTTGTACTAGTTTGTACTAGGAAATAGTTGCCAAATGATATCACTTTAAGAGGAAACCACAGGGATCATTTCTTTTTTACTGCCTTCATCTCAAACTGCATTAATGCCGGAATTCATTCAGTCTACCTTGGAGACGGTGATAAATGTTAAAATACTTGCGCTATTTCAAAATAAAAGTCCCATTCTGAGAAATATCATCAGATTTAGTTATTCCCCCTCAGTGTATGTGTCATTGAGACAAGTATCATTTGACAACATTGCTTAGTCGCTGACTTTACATGTGTGTATTTAACAGCACTTTGACATGACATTGACACTAATGTTTTTGGATCACTTCTTCCTTAGGCGCTGTGGCTATAGCAAAGCAAAGCAAGATCCCGAAGAGGAAAAGATGCACTTCCACAATGGCCACAGTAGGTTAAAGCCCAGACTCGTTCTGTATGTGTCTATGTATGTGGGCTTAAGTTCATCCAAAGTTTACAGTACATGTACAGTACAGGGTTCACACAGCGGTCAAGTCTGGTCATGCTATCTCCTTTGGCATGTGCGTACTATAAGTACAGTTGACAGTGTTTTCCTAGAGTAGCTATTCACTGAATGGCACTGCCACAAACCAGGCTCATAGCTACCAGCAAACACACAGTTGGCAGACAACACATAGAGCTATGATGACTTATAGATTGTGACAGCTTAATATATTTGTCCACATTTTTGGCATGACACCCTCTATCCATCTTTTGGTATGGAATCAAAGCCAACTGTGATTGGTATATCAACTCCAGAGTAGTCAGGAAAATAATACCATGTGGGATAGTGTTATATTGATTTGGACTGTGAAATAAAATGTTTAAAATTAGCGTTTATTATCTGCATGCCAAATTTGCAGGATGGATGAAAAGATGGTTGTCTTCTGGGAATAATTAATGGCACTAATTAATACATGTATCTTTTTTTTAGGCGTATGAATCTATTGTACTCAAATAATAATGTTGCTCTGTGTGTGCTTCTGCAGTAAAATTTCCAGGGGTGCGTACTTATATCGATCCCCTCACCTATGAAGATCCCAACCAGGCAGTGCATGAATTTGCCCAGGAGATTGACGTTTCATACATCTCCATTGAAAGGATCATTGGTGCTGGTGGGTAAAAAATAATGTCTGCATCTGTGTGTGTACACCTTGGAGATCCACTGTTTCATATTTGGAGCATCAGTTTAAGCCTGTCTGTGTTATCCTTAATTCAGAACCACAAAGGTAAACCTGTTTAATCGGTGCCCTGAAACAGCTTAACGTCACAAAATGCCTTATTAAAACACATAGACTAATAGCATAATGACTCGAGCCTAATTCTGCCTTCTGTAGTATTGAAACATTTTCTCATTAACACTACTGCAGTGTATCGTATTTTCTACAACCTTCATAAACCTGTCACATTCATAATTGCATAAGCTTACATAAGCATAAGTTAAGAGTGTGCTTAAAAGCAACATTGTGCACAGACATAAATAATGTTTCCACTGACAAAAATTTTGACTGACCACATTTATTAGCTTCAAGCGCTTTAGCCAATTTCAAGATTGGCCCCTTAAAGTAAAGAATATAAGCTGTACAAACACAGTGTGTCAGGCACAAAATTTCAGCTTTACTTAAAGAAAATCTATCTGTATCTTCAAGGTTGATTTGCCATTTCATAATAGTTTTTACAGGTCAGGTTTAACTGAAATGTTGATGCCACTCTTAATGTCTACCTTTTTTTTCCTCAGGGGAATTTGGTGAAGTGTGCAGTGGACCGCTGAGGCTGCCCGGGAAACGAGAGATCCAGGTTGCCATTAAGACCTTGAAAGCAGGCTACACAGAGCAGCAAAGACGTGACTTTCTTTGGGAGGCGTCAATCATGGGCCAGTTTAACCACCCAAACATCATCCGTCTGGAGGGTGTGGTTACTAAGAGTGAGTTATCAGCATGTGTATCACTATTTAAGTTTAATACACTGTGTTTTGTGTGAAACTGCATCCTGTAGGATCTAGCACATATTGGATGTCACAATGTAAGTAAAACTCACAGCAGTTGTTTGGTGTAGATATATAGGAATCTTAAGCCTTGCTATGTCATTTTAAACTTGCATGCTGTACTTAATCAGTCCTGTAGTTTAACAGGTTTTCCTTTTCAACTTTTTTTCTGACTTACACTTAGTTAATGTCATAGTCTGCTTGTCAAGTTCAACAGTATCTAATATATTAACTTTTGAAAGGAACTGGAAAGCTGACAATTTAATTTCAACCCTATAATCTTTTTTACCTTCATGAAGATTAACATATTTCTTTCTTCTTCTTTTTTCTTTTTTGCATAACTGAGTGTTGATCTAGCTGCTAAGTTTATGGTGGCCCCGAGAAGCCAAACAGGCAGCAACTTAAGAAAACATCAGCAATAAGAAAAATGGTGCAAAAGCACACAAAACACAACGGAGATAGGGGAAAAAAACATAAAAGGAAAAACGAAAATGGAAATAGGAGAAAACAGATTTCCAAAAGCACAAGGGAAGTGTTTCTGGGGAGACAGAGTGTGTGTTTTAATCTCATGATTCATATAATACTAATGATGGATTTTTAGGCTAATAGTTAGGCTAACACACTTACCTCTCATCTTTTCTTTCCTCACAAAACCGATAGATCCTCCACTTCTTTTAAGTGTCTCCCAGCACAATTCTTAGCATATTTTGGTTCCTGCACCTGGTCCGTCAGGTTATTGTCTCCCCAGAAACACTTCCCTTGCGCTTTTGGAAATCAGTTTTTTCCTATTTCTGTTTTTGTTTTTTTCTATTTGTGTTTTCTTTTTTCCAGTTTCCGTTTTCGTTTTTTCTATTTCCATTGTGTTTTGTGTGCTTTTGCAGTGTTTTTCTTATTGCTGGTGTTTTCTGCAGTCCGTTTGGCCTCTCAGGGCCACCGTATAAGTTGCTGTTAAAGGTTGTTCTCATGCGTACAAATGTTTACATCTCAGTTTAAATTTTGGAAAATTGCATGCACAAAGTCAGATAAAGAATTGATTATTTTAACTGAGAAGTAAGCCATATTTCAAGCAAAAATTGGCACACATGATATGTCCTTATTCTATTTTTTTGTTTTGTTTGTATATAATATAAATTTTGGAATTAGATCATTAGAGGATATTTTACTTTGTGTCGCTATCTAGATAAATGGTAAAAACAAAATCTTATGTCAAAACTATGATTTCAAAATATTTGCTTATTAACGTGAAGTATTTTATTGTTGATTTTGTTTTTTCTTCTTCTCAGGCAAGCCGGTGATGATCATCACAGAATACATGGAGAATGGCTCATTGGACACTTTTCTCAAGGTAAAATATACAGGAGAAGGGTCTGAGGGAAGAAATACTTAAAAAACGACCCTGGATAAAATACAAACCCACTCTGATTCTCCAAAAATCTCCAAAAAGTTTTTTAAGCAGAATTCGTAGCTTCATTAACAAGAAATTATATCATCTCAGTTTTAGTGTTGTCTGTAACATCTCAATGGACTGAAGGATGCTGGAAACAGACAGTGGTGCACACATTGAGACAATGTGTGCACCACACATTGTCTGCCATCTTTCTGTTCATAACAGAAAGATGGCAGTTAAAGCAGGTTTTATAACAGCTTTTAAGCAGAAAACAGATACAGATGTGTTCAGGCGATGAAAGTAATATTTCCTACTAATAGTAATGTATTTTGTATAGCACTTTTCAAAACATAGAGTTAAAAAGCGCTTCACAGTTCAAATAAAAGCCACAAATTGAAGATAAGTATACATGTTCAAACATGCAGACACAGGCATACGGTCAGGATTTCATTTCAACATACATGCAAAAAGTCGCAAATTATGGCAAAAAATTAATGGGTAAAATTAAAGGAACGCTAACCTATACACAGTTTTCAGTAGTCATTTTAAACAAATAAGAGTCGCCTGACCTGACTGACTGAGGAAGTCTGTTTCACAGTTTGGGTGCAACAACCTCAAAAGCACGGTCAGCTGGTTTTAAAATCAGAATGAGAGACAGTTAGGAGACCCTGGTTAGACAACTGGAGAGGCCAGCTGCATTGATAAGGTCAAGGAAGGAAGATAACATGATGAGAAACACAAAATAGTAGTGAATAATCAGAGAATCTGAGTTCATCTGCATGGGGCAGATTTAAGGCACATTTAAATATTGAAATGCTTTCTCACCTTTACTATGACACAGATCACCTCACCAGAATATATAAAGTCACTAAGCCTTCAGAGTTGGAATAATGCCTTTCCTGCGTAAATGAAAGTACTGCCTTCATCGCGAGTAGAATGTGGAATTTAATGAAGAGGCAGGCTGAAATAAATATTCCCTCTTCAGACCACTTAACAGTCTGTTCACTGCCTACAGTGGCACAACGCTCAGGTAGCAGACAAGTCTAATTCCTGCATGAGAAAAACTATAAATTTCTTCAAGAGTCTTGCTAATGAAGAGATGAAATACATAAGATTCAATCAGGATTCAGCACTGAAGAGAGTTAAAGTGTTTTTTTTAAAAACAAAAAAACAACAACAACGGAGGAAAGGGGAGAGTAAAATGCTTCTGGTTTGAGGTGTCGGTTTACTTGCTTGAAAGGCATTGCAGACAGGAACAATCAGAAATCTCATCTGAAGGGAATGATCTCATTTTGGCTGCATGGAAAAGGGGGATGCTGTGAGACAAAAAATACAGATAAGTGTGTGTTACAGAGCTGTGGTGAGTGAAAACTGCTGATATGACTGTCCTGTGTGTCATGGGGAATAAACCTGAATGGCAAAGTGGAAGCAGGGAAGATGGGCCACCAGCAGACGGTGCAGCACAGAAAACCCTTAGAAGTAATTACATGGATGGCTGGTGTACTGAGGCCAGTATAAATGACACAGCTATTTGAAAACCAGAGGCTGGACTGGGTCCTGGATTAGCTGTCACAGCTATGGACAATGTACTGTGAGGCTGCTAACTCACATCTTTGGCTTAACATCTCATTTCACATGTAAGTGGGATGTTCTGCTGCGAGTGGATAGAAAAAACTATTTGTTGAAACTGTGAGCTGCATGTCTGCTGTCAAAATGTGAAGAGTGGATGAGGGGAATGTTGATAGTTTACATTTGGATTGGAAGGAGCAAAAGCTTAAACTAACAATGAGAGCCTACCAATGAGAGGGGAAAAAGCTAAGAGGAAATCTAGTGAAAGAGTCTTCCATACCAGGGAAAAAGCCGTCACTGTGTATGCAGTTTTCAATATTAGCTTAATTACTAAGTGGTAATACCTTACCACTTAGTAATTAAGCTAATATTGTCATCCAATGCTGTTGCTTGAATTAATTATTTCTTTGGCAAAAAGCATGCTTCATTTTTCTCACATTTTGAACAACCGATTTAGCATCGTTCTTCTATACAGATTGGAAGAGTACCAGAAAGGTTAAGTTGGGTATTGCAGGGAGGAAGGGGAAAGATGAATTACTTGGGGAGACACGCGTCTGTACAGGAGACAGTCATTTCATAAAACATGATGTGATTCAAGGCAGCAGGGTGACACTGAACTCTGGGCAGGATTCATGGAAATATTAATGCTTTAGGTCATTTCATAGAGCAGGAGGTCTGACTTGAAGTGCATAGTTGATTGGATGACCATCACTGACACTTATAGAGGGGAAATGGTGAGCTCCAGAGCTAAATACTAGAAATATAAATGTAAATTAAGTGTATTTTCAGAGTAAAGTGCTTATGGATATTCTCTATAATTATCACATAAAACTAGAGCATTAGGGTTAGATAAGCTGACTTGCCTTGCTGACACAATAGGCTAATCAGATCTGTATTGATCAGTGATTATGTGGCTACAACCAAACCAATACTGGAGAATATATTTCAGCTTTTAATCTTTCTTCCTGCTTCACGATCCACAACCTGTGCTGTTGGTTGGTAGGTGTTAGAGAAAAACAGAAAAAGTAATTCCAACATTTGCTGCAGTGGCACCATAACAGCCATTGGCAAAATCCAGGGGGAGAAGTTGAAAAGGAGCCTTTTCCCATCTTTCTTTATATTATCTTGTAATTGGCCCAGGTCTGCAGGTTTACACGGTTTAAAATCAACAGAACATATACAGCATTGACCAGTAGTTAAGTGCTAAAGTTCGATACAACATGGGTAAATAATTTGTGCAGATGCTGCCTGGGTAGCATTTGCTAAATGTCATCCCCCCTTGTGCTTACTTCTGCCATTCTTCCCACTGTCCCTATCAAAATAAAGTCAGAAATGTTCACATGTTTTATTATTATTATTATGTGGTGCATATATAGAGTTGTCCCTCTTGGGGGGATACTCCCACTGGGTTTAAATCTGGGACTCTCCACCATTTGACCCTAGAACTGAAGAAGCTTCTCGGATGAGAGGTGAAACGTCTTCAAGCAACTTAAAGAAGTCCAGACGCTTTTCTTTCCAAGCTCCTTAGACTGCGATGACCTGGATGACTGAGAACCTTCACAGACATATATAGAGTTACACTATCCTGTCCTGTCTGGCAGCTTTTATAAGGCCAGCTCTATAAACTCTCTATAGGCCCCATTTTTTAAGGTTTATCTGTTTATGTCTTCATTTCTATTCGTGTTATTTTTTGTTAATACATATGTGGTACATCGTATGTGATACATTATAGACTCGATTTATTTACACTATATTCAATTGTTTAGATAAAGATACCAAAGCAAAATATTAAGATTGTCTTTCCACCTTTGTCCCTTCTTTCTACATAGAAAAATGATGGCCAGTTTACTGTAATCCAGCTGGTTGGTATGCTGCGTGGGATTGCATCTGGCATGAGGTATAAAGAAAACCAACAAACACACTGTGTTTTCGAACTCATTAAGTGCAGTGTTTGTGTTTAACCCTTCTTCCCTTTGTGTTGACAAATGTAGATACCTGTCTGACATGGGCTATGTCCACCGTGATCTAGCGGCTCGTAACATCCTGGTCAACAGTAACCTTGTGTGTAAAGTGTCTGATTTTGGTCTATCCCGAGTCCTGGAAGATGATCCGGAGGCTGCATATACCACGCGGGTAAAGCTGCACAAATTTCTGAAGCCAGTGGTTATTACATATCTTAAAGTTGTTTGTCAGGCTAACTGCCCAAAGTCTGTTCAATTTAAATTACATAAGACTGTAATATATATCAGAGCAAAGATATTTAAAAGGTGCATGCAAGCGAGTAGCATTCACTTAACTTTCTTTTGATCAACTAATAAATTAATCACCTGACTGCCTCGGTGTGGGTGTTAGGGAAGAGGGCAGCACACTGTTGTTTTTAAAGTTATTTACATTTAATATGGGTTGTGTCAGAGCATGACTCTGCCTTATCAAACTTTGGATTAAGTGAAAAACTGACACACAGAATAGTCTTCCCACTAAATACACACCTAGACACTTTAACTAACACACACTGACACACACACACACACAGACAACAGCAGCAGGCCTTAAATTGAGCTGTATATCCCAGGCTGAGTGGCGTTCTGTCAGCCAGAGATGGCCTGCTTCCTGCTGGAGGAGGTCCAATTAGTACTCAGCTCAGTCTCTGCAACACTCAATTAGCACTGAGTCTTGCTGCCTTAGTGCCAAATATCCTGTCACTCACCTCTCACTGCCAGGCTACATCTCTTCTTGCTCTCTCTCTCTATCACTGTCTGGGTCTCCTTCCCTGACAGAGCAGTGAGAATAACATAATTCACACCCTTCAAATAATCAGAGCTTGAGATATCCTGCTGCTGTGTTCATCAATACTGCATCAAGCTAATTTCACTACTCATCAGCTGAAAACACACTTTCCTGTGGAACTCGGCAGTCTTTCTGTGAACTTTTTTTTTTTATCTTTGCAATGAAAGCATGATAATGAAGATGAGTAAAAAATAGAGGAATCACAGGGCCCCCGACAGTTAGGATAGGGAATTTGTATAAGAAAGTGAAACTTGGTATCATGAATGTGTTCCTAAATTGGTATCCATTAGGGGAAATTTGGATTGGACCACATGCGGAAGAAGTGTCTCAATTAAGGTCTGTTCTTGGTTTCCATCCTCATGACACAAAAGATGAAAATGTTGAATGACGGCAGCTGTATTTACTGCTGTAGCTCTGGACAAGCGTAGCTCGAGTCTATTTATTTATGTGAACATATCAGATTTCTTCATAATAAAGCAGCACAACACACGAAAATTTGAGGTTATATTTTCCAAGCCCCAGGTTCCTTTAAATGCTTCAATGTGTTTGGATCATCTGGTAAACACTGTTACAGGGCGGAAAGATTCCCATTCGCTGGACGGCTCCAGAAGCAATTGCATACAGGAAGTTCACCTCGGCTAGCGATGTGTGGAGTTATGGGATTGTCATGTGGGAAGTGATGTCATACGGAGAGAGGCCCTACTGGGAGATGTCCAATCAAGACGTAAGTTTTAAAGACATTTTCAGGAAAAGTTAGTTTTCTTTAATCTTGTGAGTAACGCATGTAGTATTTGCTGGATTTTACAACTGCAGTCGTATCAGATGGTGATGCGTGAGCTTGCAGTACTTGATTCATCACCACACACATGCATCAATTTCCCACCCACCCACTCACACAGGCAACATATGCACGCACAGCCCTCCAGTGACCTCTCCAACTCCTACTTCAGACTCCACCCTCCTTTTGGTTGTTAGGCTGTCTGTCTCGAATCTAGCGAGGGGGAGGAGAGGAGGATGAGAAGGAGAGGAGAGGAGAAGACGTTTGATGTTTAATTGAAAGCGTTATGCTGGATTTTCTCTGATCTGCACAAGAAAGTGCAGGCTCTCACACTCTCTTTCTCTCAGCTATCACCTTCTGTTGCCCACTGTCTCCTCTTCCTTCTCACTTCTTTCTCTTGTCCCTTTTTTTGTCTCTACAAAATGCACTTTTTTGCGTCTTGTCCGCCCTCTCTTTCTTCCCCCACTTCGTCTCTCATTCCCTTCCTCTGATCTTTCCTCCCTGCCAGTCAGTTTTTCTACCCCCTCAGCACGCAGTGATTTGCTGCTGTGCTTCTCTCTTATGCTAGAGTGCAAGAGTACATATGCATGCGCTTTAATACATGCAAGCGTATTGGAGTGCCATCACATCTGTCTTCTGTGTGAATTTGACACAAGTAAAGGCTGTCATAAACTCAACAAATCAATTCCCTGTAGTGTCTTGCACTGGCAGAACTAGGCTGAAAACTGCAGCCTGCTTTCCACTGCAGGGTCTAACGGAGGGAGCTAAGGTTTATTTATTATTCATCCAATTCAATTTCCCCCACCAAAACATTTCTGTGATTCAGTACTGCATCCTGTTACTTGCAGAAATGATTAACGGGGTTATGAGGCATGTGAAATAAACAAAGTTGTGTTAATGTTGTGTTATTTTGCTGGATTCACACAGGCCATTGGTGTTGGGTTGCTAACTTCATGGATATTTGAGTATAAGGTCAGGTAGAGAGCAAGCACATCCCTCAAGCAAGTATCAGAATTCAGGATCTTGCTCAGGAGAACTCAATTTGAAAGTAATCTTGCCTTGCTGAAGTGTGTCATGGTTCTGCCTTTAAAAAAATATTGCAGGATACACCAAACAGGATGTACCCTCTGCATACTTCAATATATATCCATGTTATAGATTTTCATTTTATAGTCGCTTTGGAGTCTTATTTCCTCGGGGACAGCATACCAGAATCTTTTGAACAAACCTGATTATGGTGTTTTGAAATTATTGTGTCTTTTACATGCTCAGTGCAATAAGAACAGAAACTGAGAGCATAAAAACAGCAAACTAAATCTCAGTTACTAAAAAAAAAGACACAAAGACAAAAGTTTGACATATAAACACAAATAAAAGTATCAGCAGCAGTACAGGAGTGCGCATGGGCACAAAGTGGAACAGTGTTAATTATATTAATGCCATCAGCAAACGCAGTAAGTGATAACAGAGAATAAATTACAAGTGATACTATGGTAGTAATACTAATTCTTCCATCTTGTAAAGAACAGATGAGAAGGTATAAAATTATAGTATTATAGAGTGTTAATGTTGTTAATGTGTAGTTGTTCTTTTTCGCTTTTTTTGCTCTTTTTGGGGTATTTTCAGTGTTTGAACTATCAAAACAGATGGGAGTTGGATAATCTAATAGCCACAGGTAGAAAGGATCTGCTGTAGTGCTCAGTCCTGCACCTTGGGGCAATGAGCCTTTTCCTGTGTGTGCTGTGGTGAGCAATCAGAGAGGAATGTATAGTGGGATGGATTGTACATAATGCTGAGGAGTTTCTTTAGCAACCTCCTTTCAGACACCTGACATCAGCTGTTTTCACCCTGCTGCCCCAACACACTGCCATATAGTCATATGTCCAACCTTAGAGTAACAAAACATAGACAGCATGGGCATTTGGCATTGCAGGACCTGAGCCTCCTAAGAAGATGCAGGCAACTCTGGACCCTTCTTAAAGACAATATCTGTGTTCCTGTACAAGTCGAGTTAGCTGTTTATGTGTAGTCCTAGGGATTCATCCGTCACCCCCACATCTGTTCCCCTGATGATGATAGGGGAGGAGGAGGAAGAAACTGCTTCCTAAACTCTACAATCAGACAATGATCATGAAGTTAAAGCAACCTTTAGTTATCCTACTCGCATAGATGATTGAAATTTACCTTTTGCTCTTACAGTATAACTGTTTGTACATTATACACAGGTTTGTTTTTTGTTTGTTTGCTTTTGTAAAGCTAACCTGCCTGTCTTTCTTCATCTCTCTATCTGAAGGTAATAAAAGCAGTGGAGGAAAGCTATAGGTTGCCAGGTCCTATGGACTGTCCTGAGGCCCTGTACCATCTTATGATGGACTGCTGGCAGCGAGAACGCAGCAACCGTCCCAAGTTTGATGAGATTGTTTGCCTGCTAGACAAATTCATCCGGAACCCCAGCTCTTTAAAAAAGCTTGTCAACTCCTCACACAGGTAGGATGTAACACTGTACTTTGCACACCATTTAAAATATATATTAGTTATAGTTTATTCCACAAGCACACACACATACAGATGATATCATCTAAATGGCTGGTGTTATTGTCTTTGTTAAGAAATGATGTTAGCTTTCTATTAAACATTTCTAAACTTCTGCTTCTTGGCTCTTAAAAATGAAGTGTATTCATTTACACATTCATTTTTAAGCAAATTAGGCTCAGCACTCTAAGCTAATAGACTTCATCTTTCAAGATAAAATGTAAATAGAGTCTTACTGAAGTCCTGTGTAGCAGCATAGTTAAAACGTAGTCTTTGGCTGCTGCACACTAGCAATAAAGAGCAGAGAAATAAAGTGGCTTAATTTTCTTAGAATGAAGCATTAGTCTGAAATGTAGTCAGTGGGGTGTCCTTTGATTGTCGTAACATTTGAACATTCAGTTAGTATTTCCTCTCCATGTATGTGCAGTGCATTAGTACATAATGGTATGAAATGGCAATAATTGCTCTGAAGCAGACATTTATGCAGACACTTCATTATGTTATTTTCTTTGCGGAGATAATGAAATAATGGTAGATCTTTTGTTTTCCTCTTTCTTTTTGTACACACACACACACACACACACACACGCCGGAACGCATTTAATAAAGCAACACCTTATCTAACAGCCATACAATGACATATGACGGGCGTCAAGATTAAAATGACTCAAGCTATGCTTGTCCTTTTCTCACACCACACGCCTCTTCTAGTTATAGTGTGGAGAATGTTGTTAGTTGGCATAAATATTTCTGTTTGATAAGAGGGAGCCTTATTTGTAAGCATGAAGAGTGAGCCAAATGACAAAGACTTTTGAGTGGACATTTGCAGTTGTGTAATGGTGCATAAATAGCTTCATGAAGACTCATGTTCAAACATTTTGCTTTCTCTTTATCTGTTTTCCCACGTTCCAGAGTTTCCAACCTGTTAGTGGAGCATGCCAGCGTAGAAGGGAACTGTAGCACTCGAAGCCAGACTGTAGGAGAGTGGCTTGACTCCATCAAGATGGGACGTTACACTGAACTGTTTATGGAAGGAGGTTACTCTTCACTGGAAACAGTGGCTCAGATGACATCAGAGTAAGAGTCTTATGCACATGCACACATACATATAAATGCATAGGTGATAGGACGTCTACCTTAAGGTGTAGTTTCATTCCCCCTGGTTTTAATATAAATCATTTGTAAGACATTAACATGGGTTTTATCGCTGTCCACTGGGTATTTACAAGTGGACACTTCAGAGTATGTCAGTTCATCTACAGGATTAGAATGTATCTTTGAGTTACATCAGTGACCAATTGTCATTGAATCTAATATATCTGTCATTTGTATCCAGTTGTTTCTTTACTGGTGAGAAGCAGCAAAGCACTTCATGTGCCTATTCTGCTATAGTTGTAAGTTATAAGAAGAAAACAAGATTAGGTCTATTCATTGGCATGTTTCAGGAAAAACCCAGTCAAACATGCCAAACATGCTTGAAACACATCTTGGTGATATATGTCTGTTTACACTTGAGTAGTACGCCAGTAGTGCATAAACAATTACCTACAGATTGTGCTTACACAGAAGACACTGTGGTCCAGTACTGAACCCAGTCCAAATCCCATATTGTTTGAGCGATCTGATTTGAATGCATTGTCAGTGTATACTGGGTCTATTCGCTCATGTCCTTAGCTGACATGTTAATGCCAGGTTTAAACAGCATCACAGATGTTTTTTCCATAGACCATTTAATGTAATGAACACTCTAATGAACGCACAAAGTGGTGTGAAGGTTATCTACAGTGCTTAACAACTTTATTAGACCATCACCCAATGTAAGTTTTATTCCAGTGCTGCCCTAAATGAAAGGTATTCATAATTACCCAAATTTTTGTATGTTTCTATGCAGAAGCTCTTTAATCAAAATTATATTTTTAATGCTAAGCTATAATTATTGTTGTTTTCCATTCATTTTCAAATTTAGTGTAAAGCATATTATAGTAAAGCCAAATTACAGTTCTTTACTTGCATTCCTGAACACGAAAGTTTATTTTCAGCACTTGAATTTTAGACTTGGTTCATTTCTGACCTCTCAGAGAAAAGTTTGCCGGTTCAAATTTGGATAAAAAAATGTGAGTTCAGTTTGTTATTTGCCTAAAACTTTTTTTTAAACATGTTTTTGATAGATTTCTAAAATATTTGTGTTTTCTCATTTTTATTACAGGGGGTCTAATAAATTTGGTAAGCACTGCATTACAAGATTGCAAGTCTGTGCAAATACTTCAAAATGCTTTTTCTCTTCATTGAACTAAGAGTTCATATAAAGATAATATAACTACAGAACATTGGTAAAAATGTCATATATAACTCGAGGACGATTGAGAAATTGGTTTAACAGCAAAATCTCTTTAGTCAGTGTGTATCCAAAAGCCCAAACACACAATAATTTCTAACTTGCAAAAAAGACTGGTTATCACATTCATTAAAAATGAATTTATTTATGTAAGTAATCCAAAATGCAGGCTTATTTTTAACAACTTTCTCATGCATTGCCTTATTTGTTAGCAGAATGCTTAAATATAGTGCCCTGTTTTCTGTGTGCTGTTTTTCAGGGATTTACGAAGAGTAGGCGTGAACTTGGCTGGACACCAGAAAAAAATTATTACTAGCATTCAGGAGATGAGGGTCCATATGAACAGCACCAACTCTACTGTAAACATATGATGTGAAATACAAACATACAGACACATGCACACTCGTACACGCGCACACAAACACAGAAATACAATATATGGACCTACTATGTACTGGACCTAGAGTGGCTTAGCACTTTCTGTGGACGAGGATACCCAGTGTTCTACCGATCTAAACTGGAGGATCCACATGTTGTTGGTTCCTGTGTGTGGAGTTTGCGTTGGTGTCATTGGGAATATTGGATATTGCAGCACTAAAACCAAACTGAACTGGACTGAGTGGTGCTACTTGGAGGGATGATGATGGTGAGCTAAATATGAACTTAAGTAATGGTTTTACTTTAATTATTCAATTATATGACTCTGGGGATCCTCTTGGCACTGTTTTGGATACCTAAATCACAGACAGCAGATCTAACTCTGAGAGCAACCATAAAGTTTTTGGCTGTATCACAGATGTGAGTTTATACACTGGGCTCGAAGGGAACCTTTTCAACCTGTCTCAGGTGAGCTGAGCCCCGTGGAACAAAAAAAGTACTTGCTGATTCTTTGGCAACTTTCTCCATCGAGATTACCGTTCCATCAGGTTTCACTGAATTCATTTCCATATATTGAACCATTATCATTATTTAAATTAATGTCAATATTTGCTTTGACATGCTGATGTGCTTGTGGTTTTGATTTTTACCCATTTCTACCACATCTTCATGTGCAAAACTGAAGCTAAAATCTATTTTAATCATCCATATTCATATTCACTGTCATTTACTTAATTATCTTCCAAAGCAATGAACGACAAGAATAGATACTTGACCTTTGCTGTTTTAAAATACTAGATCTTAAGAATGGTTCTTACAGAGCCTAAAAAAGAGAAGTGAAAACAAACAAATAAAGACATGAAGATTTACACTTAAATATACTCTCTACAGCTGTTCTTCTGGGTGAATGTATAGCACTGCTACAATGTGGCAATAAAACCATTCTAGTCCTTAAAACCAGCTTCTGAATGAGGCCACTGATTGTATGTTATTCAGCTGGCTTTGCTCTATGTGCAAGACCTTTCACTTACAGTGAAGTTACTACAAAGCAATGCATATTTAATTGTAAACTGTTCTATTAGCTGAAAAATTCACACATATTTTAGTGAAATATTCACTCAGATTGCAGGCAAGCAGCACATGGAACACTGAAATCGCTTAAAAACCTTCACTTCAAAGTCTAGGAGAAGATTTTGCTGAGATTCAAAAGAAGCATTTGCTTCTGAGTAAATCTTTCATCCAGATTCCAAATAACCTTAAGGTAGGATCCACACTGGAACTGGACATTTTTAATTTGACATCCATTCATCGATCGCGCATTTTCAAATTAAACTTCACTTCATGTTTAAATGTGGTTCCAGTAGAATACAACTGGAACAAACTGACACTCGTCAAAGGTTCATTCAATCCTGATGGAACATTTGTTCATGTAATAATGGAACTGCCATTCAGATTCTCATGGAAGGGATCACAAAGATTCCAACAAGACTGTTTACTGGTATTCTAATGGAACATTTTCCTCAGATTTTAAGGGAACTTCTACAAGGATTTCAATGCAGCCTTCTCTCAAGCGTGCACTCGGATCTTCATCAAGCCTTCACTTAGAACCAACAAACTTCAGGTACCGCAGAAACCCATCAGCACTCTGTTCAGTTTACCATGCCACGGAGAATCTCTCACACGCATGTCTGCAACACCACAATAAACCTCACTCTAACACAGTGGTTCTTAACCTTGTTGGAGGTACCGAACCCCACCATTTTCATATGCGCATTCACTGAACCCCTCTTTAGTGAAAAATAAAATGTGATTTTTTTACTGGTGCACAAAATGAGCCATGCATGTCATGGCGGAGGCTCTGCCGAACCCCTGAGACCGACTCACCGAACCCCTAGGGTTCGATCGAACCCAGGTTAAGAACCACTGCTCTAACAGGACTGCTGAAAATAAGGAGGCAATATTCATCTACTTGATAATCGTTTATTTATTTCTACTTGTTTGAAAAAAGAGCAAAAGTTATGTGGACAGTTTGTGTTTTATAATAATACTCTCTCTTGGACTACTGAGCAGCTTTGCCTACATGTCTTTCATGTATATAATGTATTATATATTTAAAGCAGGGAGCATTGTTCTTCTGTCTGCTATCATGTGGACAAGTGGATATTGACCAGTCATCTCAGAGTAGAACACATTAGTAAATAGTGACAGATATTCTGAATCGGCATTCCTGCTACATAGACCTGGGCCGCTATCGAGTGGGGGCAACCAGCACAACTGTCCCCAGATAAGGGTCCCCAGAAGGGTATGCAAAAGAGCAAATATTTATCTTATGTTGTTGGTGATTATGTTTCATTTTACATTTTTTTTGGTGCAAGACCTAGAAATATTTTTCAGTGGCCCTAAATGAGAACAGCAAGAAAAGCTTTGTTGACACTAGAAGTAGATGAGAATTATGAACAGGGACTGATGAATTTCTGGTGTATTGTATGGTATAAACATATACAATGATGTCAATGATCAAGCCCTTGCTTTACTTCTCTTTGGTATGGTATGTTATACGTAGATTGCTACTCAGTGCTTTATTGCTAAAACTTGACCTTTTTTCACTGCATTGTTCACCTAAAGAGAAGCTACATTCTCACACTATATCTGTGCTCTCTGCAGATAACATGCTTATATTTGTATCAGTTAGTGTACTGCTAGTGTTGGGGTATACAGATGGAAATGCAATGAGATTGTAGAAGTAGGGTTTGTTTTTTTTGGGGGGGGGGGGTTCAAGAGGTGTTATCACCTGATTGTATGAAAGGTATAGAAAAGCACACAAGAAGAATGTAAAGGTTTTAAAGAGGCATTTCACTTTTTCAAAGAACATGCTTTCACTTTGAAACACTCAGACCCCCCACAGAGTTCAAGATGAGTAAAAGGGATAAGTCCTTAATGGTGGTAAGGACCCTCTTAGGTAATGGCATTTAAGCTTTTCCACCTGCTGTCAAGATCAAACTTCTTGACTGCTTCCATAAAAGATTGTAAAGTGGGGAATGGTCACAGGTTAATATTCTATATTATTATGTGTTTCTGAAAGTCATAGTGTTCTAACAGAGTGAAAGTCTGGTACAAGATAAATATCTGCATAGCCTCTTTAGTCTATATACTTGGCTTGTACATTGATAAACTATGTTGCTATGTTGCATATTATTGGGGGACTGTATGCATTTAGTGATGTCAAGCATTTAACAGCAGGCAACATTTGGCAGTAAAACTGGCATCCATGCCTATGTAGATTATTGTGGCTGTGCAGGTATTTCATTCAGCAGGGGAAGGCATCAGTAACATGGTGCAAAATATAAGGCATGTACTGTACAGCAAAAGCAGTTGTGTTGGGCAGTTTTTATTTACGACCCAGCGAGTAATAAGGCTTCCTCAGTCTCACGAATACTGCTTTTAGTTTGGGTTTCGCAGTGTTTTGACCCTCCCTAGTTGTCATGTTATTGGCTTTTTACAACCACCCTTTCAGCTTACTGGAATTTTCAAACTAAAATTTATGCTTGGGGCATGAACAATTAGTGAATACGACACCCTTATAAGTGCCTCTCATCTTTTGAGCACCGTTATTTACTCCCCTGCCAAAATGCTATGCCCCAGCTGTTCAACTTCCTATACATGTTTGCCAACAACGTCTACAGGCAATAAGAAGAATGTCAGATAATATGCTTGTTGGAACTAATTTAATTTGCACTTTATGAGAATTCTGTTGCCCTTTGTTTGACTAAAATATCGATAGGTGACTGACATGTTACTGTCAGCAAGTGTATCCTTATTATTTACTATTTAATTATTAAAATTACTGTGTTCCCTTCACACTCCCATTGGTCACCATGGCATAATTTTTTTACAGTTAAGCACAAGAATTAATCATATTTGTAATACAAATCAAAGTTATATGAGCATCATTGATGTAGAGCACCATATTTTCGAGTGTATGGCACAACAATACACTTTCATGATGTAAACACAGGGTTTGACAGGCATCTTTTAGAATAAAGGTGAATTATTGGCTTTTTAACAAGAAGTCAACAGAGCACTAATCCTTGATGTCAAGGCCTCAGCCAGTCTTGACAGCTTTTTAGCATCAACACTGTTAATTCCAAAAGTGTGAGAACAGGTATTGATTTCTTGGCATTGCAAACCATAGTAAATATACAGTCAAGCTAATTATATGCTCTGCTCAGAATATCAAATCATCAATTCAAATACTTTATTCTCAGCACTTTTTCCAATAGCATGACTTTATCTTTTGCTCACATTTAGCCAAGAAAAAAAAAAGAAAGCACAACAAACCAGCAAATACTAAAGATTTATGTGGTTTTACTCTTCAGTAACTGTCAGCTGAAACTCCGTCAGCCATGCAGTGTTTATGCAGGAGACAAAATTGTTGCGTCAAATTACATAAGACAACTGGTCTTATGTAACATCTTTGTTGTTTGAGTTTGAGAAGAGGTAATCTAAGTTAGTCACACTGGTCCAGGCAGAAATGTCCATTAGAAGTTGTTGCACTCATACATGAGTTTTTGGGGGGTTTATTCCAAAATTACAGCACCGCTTAAAGGTAGAAAAGCCAAATGGCTGCTCTCTGGGGCTCTGAGTGATAAACCAGTAGATACCAGTTTGACTGGATTCTATGAAAGACCCAAAAGCAATATGTGACCTGACATTATTTGCAAAAATAATCTTTGCATACACAAATGCATGGGAATGTAACAACAACAAAAGGTTGCACTAACTGATTAAGTTTTTTGGGGGGTTTTGTCAGACGTGAACATACTGAAAATAGGTTTAGGAGTCCTTGAAAGTGAGTTGAATTGTATCAGGGCCCACAGTTCTAGCATTCTTCCATTACTACTATTAATATTAATATTACTACTATTTTTGATTAGTCGTTTCAGCATTTCTTATACTTTGGAGCAACTGTGCAAATAAAGTCAAAGACTTTGTACAACTTATTTTTGGTTTAAAAGATGTTTGGAATAAGCTTGAACTTATTCCACTTCTTTAGTGGGCAGCTTCATCTTAGCAACAGCTGATGAGGTGCATAGGATTTGTATTTTGTGCCATATAGAAAACCACACTGATGGGGGAAAAATGTCTCCTAAAGACTAATGTGGGTCAATAAAATTACAATTGTAATTCGAGACCACAGCATTTGCCTGTTGAGTAACATTTTTGAGACAAAGCAATTCTTCAAATGCATATTTGCAGTGGGACAAACACTGTTTCCAACGGCACTGTCTACTTGCATTTGTGTTTTTAACTTCTCAGGAAGTGGAAAATAGGTACATTTATTTGATTATCACGTATTTGATCTTAGAAATGATGTGCAGCTTTCACAAAGTGTTAACATACAAAACAAGTATGTGATTAATCAATTGTCCCCAGCTCAAATGTAATTATTTTATCAGTTCACACATACAGTTTTAAGTGACTGAGTAACAAATTCATTGTGATTTATTGAAAGCACAGTAAAAATACTCAGCTACTGATGTGCTATTGGTTTGTTTTTGAGACTGTCATGTATTATGTTTGTGTTGATGTTTTTGTAGTGTGTTATCAAATCTATATTTTTGCAATAAAACATGAGTAACATCAACTCTTGTTGTAACAATCATTATCTGTTGACCACACACAGGCACTATACATTACAATAATTATTAATAATTGTTTTATGTTTTATGCTTTGCTCCTGCATTGCAGTGATTTGTTTGTGACCTCACAGGAAAAAGCAGTGCCATCATATTATGTTACTTTCAGTCATTCTGAAGGTGTAACTGTAGCAATATCATCCAAGGAAAAATTTTGAATTTTGGAACTGAGTTTTTAGATTGTGCATAACTTTAGTGAACAATGAGGCCAAAATTTTAATATACAGTGATGTGCAAAAGTAAGTACACAACACTTGTAGAAACGCCTTCAGCAGTAATAACTTGAAGTAATCTTTTCTGTATGACTTCTGTCACATCGTTGTGTGAGGTTCACAGATATTCATTTATTCAGCTCTCAAAGAATCAAGCCAGTTATGAAGGCAATAATGGATATAACCTGGTGCTAGCAAGGTAAAAGGTGGTGTCCAGTGAGAATATAAATCTTTCATATTATCTCGTTTTATATTTTTCAATTTTGACTAGAGATGAACCGATTCGATACTGACCTAAATTACTGGATCGAATATCAGAGAGAAATAAAAAATGTAATCCGATCCATTAAATATCACAAAAGCAACTCACAAAACTTGCGACATGGCCGTAACTCAGCTCATAACCTTAGCCGTCGGAGCAGTATGCTTCACGTGATAGAGCGGCTGTTGGGGGTCTGGTTGAGCGTTTGTAGCCTCGCTACCAAACCGGCATTTCATCTCAGAGAAAGGTTTCCCATAGAGAAGTAAAGCAAGTGTGTAAGTTCATCTCTGAATGTTTATAAAGCATTCCCACGTTAAGCTTAACAACCGATATATGGAGCGACTGCCTCTTCTCTCTCCCTTCCTCTCCTGCTGCTACTTCAATCATGAAACTAATCAATGATCAGCTGATCAGCCGATCAGCACCAGGATCCTTTTCTAAGTAGCTGACGGCTGGTAACTGTGCAGGGGCGGGTCTAGCAAAATTTTGCCAGGGGGCCAGGTAGGGCATTAACAGGGAAAGGGGGGCAAAAAGACATACTTTTCTTTCTAATTGTCATGTCTAGCTTTTAATAAATAATTATCTGAATCTTACAACCAAAGTTTTCATCTGATGTCAAATGTATAGAAGTCCATTATTGTATATCAGAACTATTAAGTCAAATTTATAACATAGTAAGCTATAACACTTTTTCCTTTGGGAAGGTACCATCTGTGCAGTCTGCAGTTCAGTTGAAGAAAGATATAGAATCTATTTAATTATTGTAGAAAAATAATTGATTTCTGTGCATTTTTTTTCTTTACACGTGCATTAAATTAAAGTTGATTACGTCAATTAAGCATTGTGAGGCGGAGGGCAGGGGGTGGTTCCCTATTTTTTTTCTTTTTGCTAGGAGTTGGCAACCCTATTAGTTAGGTTGCTTAATATTTCCACTAAGTACTCTTTAAAATACCAGAATAGGAAGGATGGAGTAGGTTTAAGTTTATTAGATTGATCAGTATCGCTGAACCATGAAATATTTTGGGTGCAGTGTATTTTTTGCACAAGGTATAAAAGAATAGCTTTAGTTTTATTTTGTTTTTTTAAACTTGAGTATGAACTTATACAAAATGCAGCAAGATATTTTAAAAAAAACGTTTTATTGATTATAAAATACCCTATATCGGATTTATATCGGTATCAGCAGATATCCAAATTTCTGATATCGGTATCGGTATTGCACATAAAAAAGTGATATCGTGCCATCTCTAATTTTGACACAGCATGTAAGACAGCATGAGATCTGGACTTTAACTACGCCACCGCAATATGTTTATTTTTTTTCCTTTCAGCTATTCTGTTGTAGAGTTCCTGATACATGACATAGTCATACATCATTATCCTGTTGCGTGACACACTTGTGGCCAAGCTTTAGCTTTTGGACATATAGACTCACATTTGACTGTGAATGCTTTTGGTATGCAGAGGAAGTCCTGGTTGACTCAGTGAGATACCGTAGTCACAAAAGAAAACCAAATCATCAAAACAGCAAAAAGTGCCACCCTTTGATCTCACCAGATATTTGTCTAGGTCAAGATATTACAATTTAGTATTTCCCCTATTAAATACAGAAATGTCTCAATGAGTATTTAGTTCATAGGTTATTGCAAAATGTCATCATTAATTTAAATGGTTAATTCTCTGCACTTTCTTAACAAATCCCACAAAATAGGAAACAGAAAACGCAGCATAAAGAAAACTCCTCCAAAAATGTGAAATTTAAATTGTTAGCACCATGCTGTATCCTCCTGTTGCCTTCATGACCATCCCGATTCATTGTGCATAGATTCAACAGCATGCTGGAAATATTCCTCAGAGATTTTGTTCCATTTTGACACAATAGCATTGCATGGTTGCTGCAGATTTGTCATCCGTCCCTGATGTGAACCTCCCATTTCAATACATACCAAAGATGATTGACTGGATTGACATCTGGTGACTGTCGAGGTCACTTAAGTTCAGGGAACTCATTGTTTGTTCAAGAAGCCAGTTTGATGTGGTTGTGAGTTTGATAGCATTGTGATATGCGGTGTTACCTTGCTGGAAGCAGCCATCAGAAGATGGGTACAGTGTGACGATAAAGGGTGATTGGTATGGTGAGCAACCATAATAAGGCAGGCTGTGGCACGTGACCAATGCTCAGTTGGTACTAAGTGTGACAAGAAAATAGTCCCTACACCAGATATCAAGAGTCAACAAAGCCAGACATTGTTTTTCATCCTCCATTGTCCAGTTTTAGTGACTTTTAATCTCAATTTTCTGTTTTTAGCCAACAGGAGTGGCACCTGGTGTGGTCTTCTGCTGTTGTAGCCCATCTGTGAGACCCCAGAGACTGTAAATATATTACCATGCAGTTTGTGAGGTTACCCCAAGGAAAGTGGCAAACTGCATATAAAAACAGTCAGCAGCAATAAATGAAACACGTTTCTCTTACTAATTAAATCACAAGGATGTCACTGTGTGTTTCCTAATTGTATTATAGTTGATATTGACCAGTTAATTGACCAAATTGCATTTACTGCAATGTACTCTGTTTTTGTCTGTGTTTTCATCGCTTGCTGGTTTGATTGTAATGGGCTACTTTCAGCGGACATGTAATTACTCCAAGATGTTTCCCAGCAATGCAATTAGACATGCTTTATTTGTTAAGATACCAACTGACAGGGTAACAAGGGAGCTAGTTACCAGTTTTTTTCTCTTTGTCTAGGTGGAGTGTGGGGGGTAGAAACAGATGGATAAATGAATACATAGACAGTTGCTGATCCAAGGAGAAAATCAAACACTGCCCAAGTAAAGACAGGCATCCTAAAAAATCACACCTGCAGTCTTTGTACTAAGCTATTGACAATGCTACATCGTAGGCTGGGGAAAGAATCCAGCAAAATGCAGGTCATTGCCAGGTTACAGTGATAATGAGCTGTGAGGTTCTGTAAAATGTATTGTGTTTTTAAAGCATGATGATGCAAGCCTTGGTAATGATGTGTCTGTTAGATGCAGTGAAATTAGCTGCTGATGTCAGCAACTCGTTTTATTGTGTGATTACTCTCACACAAAGCAGACAATGATATGAAAGCCTTGCCAGCAATTAACATAGTGAAATTATTCAGTAAGCATACCTGTTTGCATGAGAATGTTTTATCCTCAAAAGTCTACTGTAGACACAATGGTTATTTAATTTAATTAACACTTGAGGTCAATTCTTCAGTAACACAAGCTTTTTTTGGAGAAACTGTGAAATTAAAGATAGAACCTAAAGACAGGTAATAGCTCAATATCCTAATCCCCTACAACAGATATTGTAAAACATCCCTCATACGCCTACGCACTATTAATAATTTTTGTGATAACCTTGCATGGCGTGTGAAGGTGATTCTCAGTTCTAACAAAGCCACGCTAGTTTATATGTTAATATCCGCACTAAAGTGTTGTGTATGTGTGTGCATGTGAGGTGTGTTATGTCAAATCAAACCGAGCTGATCTCTGGGGGAATCCACTACCTGCATGGCTCAAGGTGATTATCACACGCACACACACACACCAAACGCATGAAGGTGAAATTAGCCATCACACCATCAGCATGGCTATTACCAAAACCTCTGTATCAGCGGCTTTAAGAAAAGAGCTGCAGGGTGTGTGTGAGCGTATGAGTGTGTGCTGGGATTGAACTGGGGCTATATTCCCACTGGTGCTGACTGGGATTGTTCTCGGACTGGATGGATGGGTTTCTGGCTTTGGGCTAGTCCAGGCTGTCTCTTACGTCTTTGTATGAATGCATGTCTTCACATACTTGCCCTTGTGTTCGTCTGTCCCCCCTCTGTGTTCTTACCAGCTCAAGCTTACCCACCACTACACCCCTATACACATTTTCATATCATTCATGACATTATGTGCATGACTCTGTGTGACTCTCCCTGTGTTTTCATTTGGCTTTACGTTTTTTCCTCCAGTCTGCTCTTAAATGCTTATATGTCTGTTAGACTGTCACTGTGTCAGTCTAAATTCAGGTGTCCCAGGGCACGATAAAGTAATTTTCTCTTGAAGAGGTGTCAATGGTCACAGTGTCCCAAGGGTCATTTAAAAATCATTGCAGAGATGCCTCTTTAATCATTATGAATGACCTTCAGCAGAACCTTAGCTGTCAGCGTAGGTGTGATTGCATGTGTCTGTGAATGTATCTGTCTAAGTATGTAGCAATGTAGGCATGTCTGAGGGTATATGCATATATTTCTATTTAGTCTGTAAGAGGGTCTAAATGTGTCTGTTTCTGTGTTGGATATTTCATTGAAGGTGATGTTCCCTTTCCCCAAAGGGTCTAATCCTCAGAACTGAAACCTAACTACTTGAAGTTTTTTCTTTGTTAAAGACTTTGACATGTTCATTTTATATTTATTCCCAAATAATATGTGTGTGCTGTATTTGTAAACATTATTATTGT